GCAATCCTCTCACCTTGGCCTCCCAAAGTGCTGGGGTTATAGGCATGAGCCACCACACCCGACCTGTACCTCAATTTATCTGTGATATGAGACACTGGAATAGTCTCTAATGTATTTTCTTATCCAGTGCTTCCTGAAAAAGTATTACATATGATTTACCTTATGCAGATGAAATAAAGTGCTTTTAAAAATACATTGGGCCGGGCTCGGTGGCTCAGCCTGTAATCCAAGCACTTTGGGAGGCTGAGGCGAGTGGATTGCCTGAGCCCACGGGTTCAAGACCTGCCTGGGCAACTTGGCGAGACTTCATCTCTACAATAAATCAAAAAAATTAGCCAGGTGTGGTGGCGCATGCCTGTGGTTCCCACTACGCGGAAGACTGAGGCAAAGGATCGCTGGAGCCCAGCAGGTTGAGGCTTGTGGTGGCCGGGTGCGTGCCACTGCACTCCTGTCTGGACAACAGAGTGAGACTCCAACTCAAAAAAATAATACATTGGTGTGGCTTTGCAATAGTATTCAATTAAATATAAAGATGATGATTGAATTTTGCAGTAAAATATGATCTATTTGTAATATTTAAATGAGGCTTAGAATTGAAGCTTATTTTCTTTCACTACCTTGAAAATAGGTTTTGAAAAACAAATCTATATTATCACAAAATCATGAGGAACTGTTTTTTTTTTTTTTTTTTTTGGAGTTGGAGTCTCACTCTGTTGCCCAGACTGGAGTGCAGTGGCCGCTCCCGGCCACCGCAGCCTCTACCCACTGGGCTCCGGCGATCCTTCCGCCTCAGCCTTCCAAGTAGCTGGAATTACAGGCATGCGCTAACACGCCCGGCTGATTTTTTGATTTATTATAGAGATGAGGTCTCGCCAAGTTGCCCAGGCGGGTCTCGAACCCGCGGGCTCAGGCAATCCACTCACCTCAGCCTCCCAAAGGCGCGGGATTACAGGCTGAGCCACCGAGCCCAGCGAGGAACTGTTTTTTTAACATCAAGGTCAAGCTATGTTCATAACCATAAAAGTATTTATTCAGATAAAATATCTTTCTAGAATAACGACAATTTACATTGATGACATACAACCAATTACCCCCCAGGAAGTCAACAAAACATCAGATATACTAGGATATCTACTCTCTGAAATGCTCAGAATATGACTTCCCATCATTACTCTCTTCTCCTTCATTTCACTCCCATTATCTGACCATTCTCATTCTTGCCTCAGAGACTCTGTTAGATCAGGCATGTGCTGCCAGTCTCAAAGGAGATAGAATACTAGAGATGTTTCTTATGACTTTAGAATTAGTTTTGATATCTTTTGTTATACAGACTTGGAGATAATTTCAGGAAAAAAAATCCAGCCTCTTTAAAGCATTCTCAAATGTATGGTCTGCAGTTCTTTGTATCAGAATAACTTAGGTGATTTATAAAATATTTGGATCTCTGAGCTCTGCCTTAAAGATGAAGTCATATTTATGCATACTAAGTTTGGAAGACTTTCTTTACAATAAATGTATGGCCTTTCAAGAGGAATACTTTTTAAATGTTATGAGATAATTTAAAAGTGCCAATTCCTCTATATTTAAAACACATTTAATCTAAAATTAGTTAATGTATCAAATCCTGTTTGGACAGCAGGCAAACATTTTATAGCAATCCACAGAACTAGGACTGAAAGATACTTTACTGGCCATTTTATGGCAGCTTTCCAACTCAGTACTACTAAATAACTACTTAGGTGTCGACTAAATACCTCTAATGATAGGAAATTCATAGTCTAATGAGATAGGCCACTCCATATTCAGAGATCATTGGTAGAACAATTCTAAGTCAAAATATGTATTCTTTTAATAGGCAATTGCTGCTATTTGTCTTATTTCATAGATCTGTTAACATTTAGTCTAATTTTCTGAATCTGTGACATTTCCAATTCCTAAAAAAACCTCTATTTGCCTACTTTTGAGACATATTTCTTTTCTTTTCCAAGCTAAATAACCCCTAGTTGTGATTCTGTTCTGTTTTTCTTTGAATAAACGACTCATTTTATTATTTAGAACGGACTCTAATCACTCTTCTGTTTGCTTCAGGATTAAATAATAAAAGTAACTCCTACCTCTATCCCTTCATAAAAAATAAACATTAGACTTTCACCTCCCTAATTTGATGCAGATACTGATTAAAACACTCTAGGTGTTTTTTTTTGTAGATATTGAATGCTTATTTTTAATTAAAATCCCTACCTTTTTGTGTCAGCTACTACTAAATTCACCTGTCCAGTTTTTTTTTTTTTTTTGAGTTGGAGTCTCGCTCTGTCGCCCAGACTGGAGTGCAGCTGCCGCTCCCAGCCACCGCGGCCTCAACCTACTGGGCTCCGGCGATCCTTCCGCCTCAGCCTTTCTGAGTAGCTGGAACTACAGGCACGCACTACCACGCCCAGCTAATTTTTTATTTATTGTAGAGATGAGGTCTCGCCAAGTTGCCCAGGCTGGTCTCGAACCCACAGGCACAGGCAATCCACTCACCTCAGCCTCCCAAAGCACAGAATTACAGGCTGAGCCACTGAGCCCGGCTACCTGTCCAGTTTTATTGTGAGAAATTTGGTTTCAAATACAAGCTGTCGAGAATGTTTTAAGTATTGATTCCCTCATTTAGTATATTGTTTTCCTCTCATGAGAATTTTGCCCTTAAGTGGTATGAACATGAATTTGTAGTATTATTTGGTATTAAGTAAAATATCAAACAAGATAAAAGAAGAAAATAAAAGTAATGATTTTTTTGTAGGAAACTTCGTCTATTAAGATTCCTTTGTACAGAGTTATAATCAATTTTCAATTAAACCAATGAAGATTTGCCAAACATTTGAAATAATGCACATGATGTTTATGTAGGAGACTTTGCCAAATGTTATGAAAACTTAGGAACTTAATTCAATGTACTTTAGTTTACTACTACATCTGTCAAAAAGTAAAGTCAGTTCATCTGACATCATTGGTGATACTCTTTAGGGTGATAGAGATCATCAGTTTCCTTTTTTTGTTTTTGAGTTGGAGTCTCACTCCGTCACCCAGACTGGAGTGCAGTGGTCGCTCCTGGCCACCGCAGCCTCGACCTGCTGGGCTCCGGCGATCCTTCTGCCTCAGCCTTCCAAGTAGCTGGAACTACAGTCGCGTGCTACCACGCCTGGCTAAATTTTTTGATTTATTGTAGAGATGAGGTCTCGCCAAGTTGCCCAGGCGGGTCTTGAACCCGCGGGCTCAGGCAATCCTCTCACCTTGGCCTCCCAAAGTGCGGGAGAACAGGCTGAGCCACCGCCTGTTCAATTTCCATTCTTAGTGTTCAAATCTCACCTTTAATATCTATTATAATTTTTTCTGAATCAACTCTTCTGCAACCATTGATGACAGTAACTGATGACTAACATGTTTGTAAAGCTGATAAGAGAAGTTTTTGCAAATGGTGAAACACTGAGAAAGACATTTAATATTTAATATAATTTATAAAAAGAAAAAATAAAAAAATTGAATGAGTGATGATAAATGTGCAACTTTTCAATTTATTCAGTAAGAATTGCAAATAATTGCAAAATATTTGAAAAGTGTGAGAAAATGGAATCAGTTTCCATGAGGAATGGGATCATTATCCCCTTATTCCTAATGCCTAGCACAGACTCTCACTAAATATTACTGAGTTATCAAGTAAATATTATTGATAATAGAAAAAAATATGCTTTAGAATATTGGGAAATTGGATATATAATTCCAAATGGTCTGTGTACACTTTTCATCTTAGCAACTGAAAAAAATAATTGAGATGGTTTGTATATGCTATATACACTATATGCACTTAACATTTTCTTAGACTAAATATAAACTCCTTATTTACTGACCAGTTATTTTATTATGTACTTAATGCTTTTAAGTTTTATTAGGTTTAGCTTTATTGCCCAAAGCTGCAGATAATACAAACACAAATGTTGACTTTCAGTAATTTTTTTTCAACAGAGTTGATCAAGCACTCCCTATATGCCTCTTTTTTTTTTTTGAGTTAAAATCTCACTCTGTCTCCCAGGCCGGAGTGCAGTGGCTTTCTCACGGTCACCCCAGCAGTGACCTGCTGGACTCCAGCGATCCTTCCACCTAGCCTTTCTAGTAGCCAGAACAACAGGCACGCTACCACAACCGGCTAATTTTTATTTTTATTATAGAGATGAGGTCTCACCAAGTTGGCCAGGCTGATCTCAAATCCTCAGGCCCAAGGCAATCTACCTGCCTGGCCTCCCAAAGTGCTGAGATTACAGGTTGAGCCACCGAGCCTGGCCTGGCTATGCCTCTTTTAAACTCTAGGACACCAGAGTTTGGTTCTCCCGCCCCTCTCCCGCACCCACCTCCCCACCAAGTATGGTTGTTTCATCTCGGGCCTTTGTATGGTTCTTATCTTCTCCCATCACTCTTAATCTTGGATTGCTCCAGTGGTCAGATGCTCATCTTCTCTGTATATTCACACGCCCTTGGTGAAATTATCAGTTTCATGGCTTTAAGTTTAAATTATATCTGTATGCCTATGGTTAGCAAGATTGTATCTCCAGTTGTCACCTGTCATATTTCAGACTAGTTATACAAATCTAGCTATACTTGATGTCTACATTTAGTCACTCAAATTATTTAAAAATAACTTACTGACCTACTTCCCCCAAATTTGATCCTTCCATAGTTTTCATTTCAGTAAATGAAAATTTCTTTCCTCTAATTGCTCAGGCCAGAAACTTTGCACTCACCCTTCTTCACTTCTCACACTGCTTGTCCAATCAGCCAGGAAATCTTCTCACGTCTATTTCCAAAACATATCCCAACAATTGGTTGGATTTTCACAGCAGGACTTTTCAAGTAAAATAATTATTTATGTAACATATAGTAGAAAATGGTAAAATGGCCAATGATAATACATATGCTTGAACTGCAATATGTCATCTTTAAAATGTATGCACACTTTCTGTTTTCAGGAAAGGCCTATGCTCCAGAATTCTATTACGATACATACAATCCTGTGTGGCAGAACAGACACCGTGTTTATTCCTACAGTCTGCAGTGGACACAAATGAATCCTGATGCAGTAGATCGGATTGTTGCCTACCGGTTGGGTATAAGGCAGGTGAGAGCCATAATTGATATGCTTGGTATTTTTTCTTTGTGGTCCTCTATTAAGACCTTGTTATCATTTTTCAATTCATTTTGCATGAATTCCAGAATATATTATATATATTATATATATGTATCCATGTGTCTATATATGTTGTAAAATATTTGTTACTCTACTCAAACTGTTCCAAATTATTAAAATTATTGAAATTAGTTTACATATTTCTACTATGAGAGGTGATATTGTAAAGTGACATCCTTTGGGTCTTCTGAAATCCTTTCTTACTAGATATGTTACCCTATTTGCTGGATGACTATTTCAGAGAAATTACATGGTGTAATAGTAATAAAAGGAACTATTTTAGATATGTTCACACTTATCTAAACTTTGTAATCATTTGTCTTGTTTTTTTAAGATGCTAGAAGTCTTACATATTCTTACTTTAGGGGTTCAAGGTAAACATGGAATGTTTTATAAGCTAATTTAGCATGTCTGAAGAATAGAAATACTATAGTAAAATGAGAAGAAATAATAGAAGGTAAGGTAACTGAAGATTGTGGGTTATGTGGAAAAATTATATATTTTTAAAAGGAACCACTGTTAGACCCACCTATTCTTTGCTGGTATAGATTACATTTTTAAAACTTAAATGTAAGTCACTACATTGTTTTTTGTTATCATAAGTGCGATTGTTTCAGCATAACAGAGCATTCTGAAGGCTTATTTGATTATCACATAATCTATTAGTTCTCTCCCTGACAGCTTTGTGTTTTCCTTAGATTTACGAAGTGTGTGTTCCACTTCCTTAACTCAATCTCGAATAACTTTGAGAGTTGGGACAGTAGAAAGGACAAAATTTGTGTGGAGAAAGATTGATTGACCTCCAACAATCCATTCAGCTGTTCTATCAAAAAACCATTGTTTTTCTATCTTGCTCACAAGGTTACAATGAAAGACCTTGTCTGACACATCATTCCCATTCAAATACACTGTGAATTGAATATTCTTGGCTAGCTTGTTTAAGAATCTCAGAAAAGTAAAATAGCATTTACTAGTGAGAACATCCTGGCATTTGTTAAGTACTGATTCTTGCCTAAGGGCTCACAGGTCACTGATACAGCGGTCCACAGTGGACAATTGAGAATATTTCTCTCATTCATTGGTTGTTAGGTAATCTTAATAAATCCCAAATCCAAATTGTTCATTTTAATTTCACAGTTACTCATTCTAATTTGACAACTTTCTTTGATAAGAAGATAAAAACAACAACAGTGAAAACAAAACAGATTAGCTGTTCTTTCTCCCTCAGTTGATGGACTTATTCCTTTCTTTTTCAACACTGCTATTATTTTTAAATCTTTCATATTTGGAGTATCTAGAAACATTCTTGACTTTACACACCTTTCACTCTTTTTTCTTTTAAGTCTTTAACTGGTTAATCATTTACATTTTTTAAAGTTATACATGCTTTTTAAAAATCTATGAACCTGAGGCTAAATTTCCATATGTAAAATGATTTTTTAAATATTTCCTTGGCTATTTTCTGACTATCAGTTTTTAAGTCTATGGAATTTACCCAACCCAGTCCCTTCCTTTACTCTGACATGCCTCAAATACAGTTTCTACCACAAGTCTGTGTTGTGGATGCAAGTCAAAATCCTTAATCTAGAAATCAAATTTAACAGAAAAGTAATTACCATTGAATTCTCCCTTCCCTCAAAATAGAAGACAGATTTTAGCAGAGTTAGAATCCCTCCCAAGAGGGATCCAATTAATTAAATTGCCTCTTTCTCGTTCATATCTTGTACTTATTACTAGCAAGCTAACTTCGGTAATTTTTTTTGCTACGATTGCTACACCATTTTCCAGTGACAATTTCTCTCTCTCTTTTTCCTTTCCTGACATAAACATCTCCTTCAAATTCCAGTTTTCACATTTCTTGATCAGAAAACTAGTATATAGAACTCCCTGATATGCAGTGACACACTTTTCCCAGTCATTGTGTTGTTCATTTTGAATAAATTTGTTAATGTTCTCCTGCTTTGCTTTTATAGAATAATTATTTATGTGTGCATATGTGTGTGCAAATTTCTTTTCCAGGTTTTGTTAAAACAGTGAATTCTAGACACACCTGGCTTCCTATTTCAGTTAGTCTAGTCTCATCATAGTATAGCTACATATCCTTAGGCACGTTTTTGGACATCTCTAAGTCTGGGCTTCTAGCTTATAAATTGAAGATTATACCTGTCAGACAATTGGAGTGTGAAGTGGAATATGTTCTCCACTAGTCCCACAGGCCATACACTCTTATACAGGGCAGTCCCTTATTAAAACAGCTGTGGCAATTCGTATATTAATTTCCCATGGTTGCATAAGAATTAAAAAGAGAACTTAACATGGCTATTACTTTTGTTATTTTGATTTTATTTGGTATACTGTATCTTAAGCCTAACATTATGCTCAGCTATTATTTTTGCAAAATAATTTCCTGACATTTTTTCACTCTGTTTTTACTTAAAACCTAATATCCTCCATAAGATCCATTTTATTGATTCATATTTTTCTTTTCTGCTTTAAGTCTTCATTTAAGGCCTTCTTGATCAAATCAGCAAGTCTGCTGCTAACACTGTTCTTTCCATGATTTGTGAGATGTATGCTGTCCACTGGAGGAGAAGCCTATTTCTGGTGTTATTAACCAAGGTCCAAAAAACAAATCTTTTTCCTTACTTAATTTTGAAGCTAACTTTTTTACCTGCCATACAATTATTTTCTATACTTCATTGTTCTATGAATTTTATTTTATATTTAGAAACTTTTTTTTCCTAGAAAGCTTTTTATGATGCTGTATTCTAACTGATAATTTTACTCAGAAATTATATCTTTCCATGAGAAATAAACATTGATATATCTTTCAGGGATGTCTCAACAAAGAGTAATGACTTTGTACTCTTCTGCCAGTGTTAACAGGAGGGTGATGTTTATACATGGAGTATAAGAAGAGAAGGATCACATATTCACACTTCTCTTTTTCCTATTGCCATATTCCTTAAGCTCAACTCCTGCATTAAAAATCTTTACATGGAAAATGTTCTCCATAAGTAACATTTCCTTTGAGGAAAAACTTACATACAAAAGTTTGGGATGATAGAGCAAAAACATCCTAGATGAAATAATATTGCTATGGTTCTTTTGGGAAAAAAAATCATTTGTTTAATAATAAAAAATAGAAAGAAAAAGAAGATGGTGACGGGGCAAAGCGGTCTGTGAAGCCCTCTGCAAAGGAGATCTGCAATGGGTCTCTGACTCTCGCCCCCGGGGGGCTATGGACCCCAGCAACGCAGCCTGCTCTTCATACAGAGCTCGGCATTATCACCGCTGCGGCATCGTGACAGAATGGACAGTCACTGCGGCGCAAACGGGCGCCACCACTGTTGCCGCCGCCGTGCAGTCACCCCGCCCCCCCAACACTCCCTCACCCACCGCCGCGGCTGCCGCGGCCAGCGTGACAGCAGTAGCACATCGTACCACCTGGGCCGGAGGTGACCCACTTCAAGCCACTTCAGGGAAGATCTGCTGGGATCACTGACACCTCTCCTGCAACCAAGAAATCCTGGCCGCCCGCCCTGTGTCTCCTGTTGTCTGCCCTGAGGCAGGCAGTCATCTTGTTCCTGTCTGGCCGCACCCCCTCTGGGGTGAGCAGCTGAGATAGCACCACCTGCTGGCAATCCAAGGTAACAACACCAAAACAGGCGAAACAAGCTTGATAAAGACATAGACCAGAGTGCTGAACGGAGGGTAATCTGAACTGTCCTTCACAGCAGACCAGGGGCAACTGACG